TTTCTGTAGGGCAGAGCGGCTTTTGTAGATCATATCACAGGGGGAGGGAGGGGGACTGCTTAGTAACAGTGTGGTTGATGTTTTCTTTTTGTCAATTCCGAATTGAAAGTGACTGTGAGGAACAGGGGCCTGGGAAAACAGAAAACTCTGGGGCTGAGAGCTCTCCTCTGACTTGGCAGTGGGCATAGCGGGGGGATTCAGCAGCAGGCAGGCTGGAGGCTGGCAGTTCCACACCCCAGCCCTGCTTCAGCCCAGACAGCTCAGGAAACGACATGGGAGAGGAGCTGAGCCTTTACTCGGTAGTCCCCTGTACCTCCTGGCGCAGGAGAGTATCTGCTGCACACTAACCTCCATCACACTCCCCTTGGGGCTCACTTTAATTATCTTGTGAGATGATGCTCAGGGTGAGCCTGTGGGTAGGCTGGAGGCGGGGCTCCCATCCACTGCCCCAGCCACAAACAGCATGCATGATTAGATAATAGACATGTGCCCTCTAATTGTCAGACTGTGCATTCGTGAAGCAGCACTGTGTGTTCCTGGTGCTTTGCCATTGCTCCTTAGAATCCCCCCTTGCTACACCACCAGGCCTGCCCCACGACTAACTAGCTCCATGACAGCGCAACAAGGCACAACCACTGCTCTCAAAGAACTCAAAGCCCAGTGGAAGAGATGAGTAATCAAACAAGCAATTTAGGGTAGCATTACCACGTGGAGAGTGCCACCAAAGAGCAGAGTGGCTTATTCTCCAGGCAACTTCGATCCCTCCAATCCTCCCCCTCCCCCTCCCTCTCCTTGTCCTGGAATATCTTCTGTGTTCAATCTGGGTCGCAAGCCTAATTCTTCTCCCAGCAACTCCAGTGGCTCCTCACGGTACCCATATTCCAGACTGCAGATGAGTGCTGGTCTAGGATGTTTTTCCAATCCAGGGTGAGTTAAGAACTAAGGACAGAATAGCCAGTCTTCAGTACAGCTGTGTGTGTTCAGTCTGAAGAACTTCCCTTCGTTTGGAGAGTCTATCCCTCCTGTCTGTCTGTCGAGATGTTGAAACCTTTCACTTATGAGATGATAGTGTTTGTAGATGGTCAACTCATGTTGAGTTTAATTTTAATATTACCACTGGGCAGAAAAAAAGAGCATCCATTGTTTACTGCACTGTGACAGCTCAGTCTGGGAAGCACTGCCTAATAAACTTCTTGTCACTGAGGTGAACACCTATGTTCAAACCCAAGCGGGAGCCCCTGGGGTGTCTTTCTTAGTGTCTGATTTCCCAGTCTGTAGCAGACTGGCAGAGCTCATGTATTCAAATTCAACTCACTTCCCCAAGACCCTTAGCTGGCTGTAGTGGCCAAACCCTTAAATGGACACTCCTGTTTTCTTGGTATCCCAGGCTGCTGTATATTTAATGCCTTGAGTATCCAATTTCTGGGCCAAACTCATGAAAATCTAAAGGGGAATTATCTGTCTCAGAAAGCAGTTGCAATGGAAATAAAAGCGACTTGTACTCAGTGTTATCAGGATGCTTAATTTTTCATTGCAATTTCAAGATAAAAAGTGATCTTCAGAGTTATGTTAACCCAGATCTCCAGCTTACACTGAGATGCAGCTTAGAAACTGCTGGAAAACATGCCAGTCCTGGTTTGGAGCAGTTTTTTTTTTAGAAGTCAAGGGATCTAGTCTAGTTAAATGAAGTCCCATACCACATTAGGTTATCCCACCATTTAGATATGGTTTGGGAAGTTCCCATGAAGCTTGATGGGTAGAGGAAAATGCCCATCAGGCAAGCCAAATCCCAATAATATAAGTGGTAAAGTTCAAGTTCTTGGGCTGTGTTGAACATTTCTATGTTAATAGTGTTTAACATAAGTAATTCATGCTTGACTTAGATAATTTATTTAAAAAATTTTTTTAACATTTATTTAGTTTTGAGAGAGAGAGAGAAAGCAGGGAAGGGGCAGAGATAGAGAGGGAGACACAGAATCTGAAGCAGGCTCCAGGTTCTGAGCTGTCAGCACAGAACCCAACGCAGGGCTTGAACTCAAGAACCGCGAGATTGTGATCTAAGCCAAAGTTGGATGCTTAATCGACTGACCCACCCAGGCACCCCATTAGATAATTTAGCTGCAAGGAGAGATTTGCTTTACCATTCTGCAATGTTGGTTTTGCTTTGTGATGGCAATTGCAAAGGAGACTCATGTTTGGACTGAGCGCTTCTTTAGGTCAACTATGTGCCTTGTGCACATTATTGTTGAACACACTCTTCTGCACATCTCTCCGCTGGGACCTAACACATCTCTTGGCACCTAAGATGCCAAGAAATTGTTGTTGGTGATATCAATAATACAAATGACTAATATATTTTGGAGAGAATCCATTTCTGGCAGTTTCTACCTTGGCCTAACATGACTTTAGCTTGCCTATTGAATTATTAGAAGAAAATTCTTTTACTTGACAATTCTGTTCTGGTTTCCTTAAAAGGAAAAATGGGTATATGGTGGGCAGCAAAGACCTCTAGTGGGCACTTGTTCCAAGCCTTGGTACCTAGTTTTCTGGAACCTCCACTGGCTGCTTAGTCAGGGTCTCATCCAGATTGAGGAGCAATAGGCATGACCCACTTGACCTTGCATAATTGTATTTGGTTTGCCTGGGTGATTTGGCCAACACAATCTTTTCCACTTAACTCATCCATCTTGTAGCAGGCAGCCCTTTGGCTGGTCAGCAGCCTGAGATCTGAAGAGAACAATGTAGAAGGCTTCAGGACATTTCTCATCCCATCTTTGTCATCAGTCGGTTGTATGGCCCTGGGCAAGTCATCTGTCTCTCTGGGTCACGGTTTCCTCCTTCGTGAACCATCTTGGATTAGATCGGAATTTCTCAACCTTGGCACTAGTGACATTATGGGTCAGATACTTTTTTGTTGTGGGGCTGGCTGTCCTGGGCCTTGTAGGATGCCTAGGAGCTTCCTGGCTTCTACCCACTAGACATCGGTAGTACTCTTCACCTCTTTTGTAACAAGTGAAAGTATCTCTGGACATCTCCAAATGTCTTTTTGGGGCCAAGTCACCCCCAGTTGAGAACTATTGGATCAGATCATACTTAACTCAGTTTGAGAAATCACTCTGAGTTATTAATCCACCCGGTTTTATTGACCACCTACTATACGCTAGACATTATATTAGGTTTTGTAGCCTAAATATTTTTTTACAGATATTCCCCTGAGGAGGTGCCATCATCTACTTCATGAAACTCTGAATTAGAGCTAGGATGGTGTCTACACAGGCACTGAGGTAGAATGAAAAAAAAGAGAGAATGTCTATTTAGATTCTTACTAGCCTCATCTTTAAAACATCAACCTCATACACTGTTGTCAGGACCTGATGGCTAGTGTATAGGAAAGACCTTAAATGATAGTAGACATTCAATAATTAAACTCATTCTCTTTTCTTCTTCCTCACCCCTGGGAGAATCAGATCTACACAAACCATTAACTTTATCAGTTTTGCTCTGCCGTTTCTAGGAATCTACCCTTCTCCTACCATGTGACCCCAATCCACTCCCCAGTCAGGCCAGTACAGATATGTGCTTTAAACATTTTGTTTTTTAATGTTTATGTATTTTTGAGACAGAGACAGAGAATGAGCAGGGCAGGGGCAGAGAGAGAGAGTGAGACATAGAATCCGAAGCACGCTCCAGGCTCTGAGCTGTCAGCACAGAGCCCGACGCAGGGTTCGAACTCAAGAACACCGAGATCATGACCTGAGCCAGACTTGGCCACTTGACCAACTGAGCCACCAAGGTGCCCTTGATATGTCCTTTTAAAAATCTCCAACTGTTTGGGCACCTGGGTGGGTCTGACTTCAGCTCAGGTCATGATCTCAGAGTTCGTGGGTTCGAGACCCACATCTGGCTCTCTGCTGTCAGTGCCTGCTTTGGATCCTCTGTCTCATTGTCTCTCTGCCCCTCCCCTGCTTGCTCTCTTTCTCTCAAAAATAAATAAACATTTTTAAAAAATCTCCAACTGTATGTTTCAAGGAGACCCCCCACCCACCGCCCTCAATGTCTTCTATCACCAGATTATTAACTTGGTCCATTTTTGAAGGAGTTGCCTCTCCGTAGTGAAGAAAAAAGATTCTCCAGAGAATAACCAGAGATTAGCAGAGGCCACTGTTTCATGTTTGCCTTTGCACAGTGACAATAAAGAACTGAGGAAGCGGGAGCCCCTCCTCTGCGAGTCATCAACACTGCTTCTCCTGGGTCATTGATTGGGCCATGGGTTTTATCATTGGTTCTAAGTGTATCAAGGGCAAAGATCATGCATTGGGCTTCCATGGGTGCTCCTGTACCACCTCCTCCAGGGAACACATGTTGTATTTTGTAGCCTGACATGGTGAGAGGTATCATGGTGCAGTAATAAGCAGTACAGGGCAAGGGGGTTTGAATCTGTATTTTCTTCTCAGATCAGACCCTGCCCAGGGAGTATGGAGAACATGAAGACAGTGTAGCTCTTGGAAAAAATAGGTTAAGGCTCAAATCCCAGCTCTGTCACTGTCTGTTTGACCTTGGGAAATTTCTGTTACTACTCTGAACCTTGGCTGTCATAGCTGAGAAGTCTGCAGCCATACAGGTCCCTCTTCATTCAGAGGTTGTATTAAATAATACACTACATGGAAGGCACATGGTACAATCCTGGTAAAAAAAAATTTTTTTTTTGAGAGAGACAGTGCACGAGCAAATGTAGGGAAGGGACAGAGAGAGAGAATCTTAAGCAGGCTCCACGCCCAGCACAGAGCCTGATGTGGGGCTCAAACTCATGACCATGCAGTCATGACCTGAGCTGACATCAAGAGTTGGATGCTTAATCATCTGAGCCACCCAGATACCCTGAATCTTGGTAGATATCAAGTGCTCAATAGAAACCCAGTTTCATTAACAATATGTGTCATCTTAAATAGTAACTATAAGCAATAATAAATGTGACAGGTATTGCACAGCAAAAAGATGGATTTGGGTGAATGAAAAGGTATTTATGAGATTGACCTGTTCCATTACTGATGAGAAAACAGGTTCAGAAGGGGAAGCAAGGAGAAGTGTACCCAAGTTAATGGCAGAGCTGGGGCAGATCTTGCATCTCTAGATTCCCGTCTAAATGCTGGTTCTACTGCGCTGGGGTTGCTTTCCTGTATTAAAGAAAAAATTATTCAATAACACTTGTAAACATGATATGGCAGACTATTCAGGACTCTCACAAGAGGTATAGGGACCACCATAATGGGGATGGGGAAGACAGACTAGACTCAACTCCAAATACAGCATGGGCAAGAAACAGGGTAGGGGTCATTGGGTGGAAAAGTACTAAAAGGAGACAACAAGGTTAAGGGGGACTCTGGCTTAACCGACCTGACATGATTCTTCCTTGAAGGCAGGGTGGGGTGGTCAGACAACACCTGGGGAATGGTGGAGGGCAAGGAGCCTGGTCAGATATCAAAGGTTGGGACTCTGGTTAAACTGACTTAGCAGCATTCTTCCTAAAATTGGATTTCACAGAGAGGTGCATGGATGGGCCTAGGAGAAGGTTCAGGATTGGATCCCGAGTAAAGTCTGAATTTTTGTCACCTGCTCAAACATTTAAAGGCCAAGTTTAGAAAATTGCATACAAATTGGGGAAAATGCACCAATTGGTTTAAGCACCATGTGCTGTCTCCAGAGGGACTTCTTCAGAGTAAGAGAGAAATGAATATTGTCTAATGGGTTTCTGACGATGTAAGGCTGCCCTAGAGAAAAGCAAAGTTTGAGAGGGGGGCCTAGCTCCCCAAGGCTCCAGCTATACCAGCCTGTCGTTACACACCACCAAGCTCTATAGCAATTACTGCCTTTGTCTCTCCATCTCCCACCTTCTCAACGTTCAGCCCTTATCTCCCAGCCCATACCCAAGGAGCTGGTGAGTTCATCTGTTGCCTTAATGCTGATACTTGGTCTCAAAAGCCACTATGAATGACTAGATAACTGAACACAAATAGTCCTCCCCTTCCCAATGAGGCTGCGAGAGATTTCTCTGGGCTGGCTTTGACCTGTAATTCATATCTCATCTTTTACTTCTTGCCAATAACTCATAGGCTTGCTTGAGAAGGAAAGGCTGAAGGCTTTAGGCTCATTGTTCAAAGGGGAAGAATTGTAACAGAGTGGCTTGCTACACTTGGTCCTTCAATATTGACAATTTGGGGCCTCTTGCAATGGAAGGTTATGTGGTTCTGTTCGGGTCCTGGCATCACGATGATTCAGATGATGCAAAATCATGTGCCATTGCACTGTGAATGGAACCATGGTATAAACGGAATAACTCATTTGCTGTAAGCTCTACTGTAGTCTTAAAGGATGGTCATAATTCAGCCGAGAAGTTGAATCAGTAGAGTCCTGATTCCTACCAGAACTCTATCTCATCTTTCACCTTTTTTAAACGAAATTAAACTTAACTGAAAGTGGGAGTGCTTCTTATCCGACGAAAAGGCTCACCATACACAGAGCACACATTTAAAAAAATTTTTTTTTTAATGTTTTAATGCTTTTCTTTTACTCCCCTCCCCCTCTTTTGTTTAACCCCTTTCTGATCTGCAGATTAAGGCTCTTGGGATTAATCCTGCCCACCACTTGTTTTATAAATAAAGTTTTATTGGCACACAGCCACATCCGTTCGTTTATGTATTTATTATCTATGTCTGCTCTCATACTGCTACAGAATTGAGTAGTTGTGACAGAGACCCTATGCCCAAAGCCTTAAATATTTATTAGCTACCCTTTTTAGAAAAAGTGTGCTGATTCCTGATTTAGAGTATGAGTGTTAGGGCCAAACAAGCCTTGGTTCAAATGAGGTCTTGGTTACTCGTTAGTTTGTAACAAGCTAGCTTTGACATTGGAAAAGCTACATGACTTCTCTGAAACATAAGCTGTACTATGGGGATAATAGATAAATACCTACTGCCTTGGAGAGTTGGTGTGAGAATTCAGTGAGATAGTTTTTGTAACAACTACAGCCCCGTGCCTGGCACAGAGCAAATGCCCAATAAATAGTAGCTATTCGTGAGCATTCATTCCTTTAGTCAACAAATGTATATCTAGTGGTTTCTCTGTGCCACGCCTGCGGTGGGGGCCACAGCAGTGCTTGACATACACAGCTCTCCAACTCATTGAGCTCACGTTTTATTTTTTTTTTAAATTTTTTTTTAATGTTTTTTATTTATTTCTAGGAGAGAGAGAGAGACAGCGTGAGCAGGGGAGGGTCAGAGAGAGAGGGAGTCACAGACTGAAACAGGCTCCAGGCTCCGAGCTGGCAGCCAGCACAGAGCCCGACGCGGGGCTCGAACCCGCGAACCGTGAGATCATGACCTAAGCGAAAGTCGGACGCTTAACCGACTAAGCCACCCAGGCGCCCCTGAGCTCACGTTTTAATGGAGAAGAGAGGCAGCATAAAGTCAATGAACTACAGATTATTATCAGATAGTGATGAGTGCTATAAATAAAATAAAATAGGATGACATAGAAGAAAATGACGAGGCAAGGAATAGAAAACTGCCGACCAAGCTAAACCCTAAATGTAAGAATGAGTCAGCCATGTGCATATCCAGAGGAGAAATGTTCCTGGCAGTGGGCACAGTGGATAAGGAGTCCCTGAGCCAGGGATGAGCTTGGGATGGTCCGGGAAGACAAGTGGCCTCGGGAACCGGCCTGGTGACGGAAAGGGGGATGGCAGAGGTTGGCAGGGGGAACAGCATGTTGACACTTGCAGGTCTTGAAAGATTTTAGAGGCAGGGGTGCAACCTGAGACCATAATGGAGCAGAAATGAAGTCCTTGGCCTCATTCTCCGACCTTTGTCGTAAATATATTATCCTTCCTTTTTGGTCTCTGGCATTTGTTGCTGTTGGAAACCGGAGACAAGAAGGGACCTAGGGGACCCTCGGCAGAGTGGAAGCTTTTGGTTGTGGCGAGTCCATCCCACCACCCCAGCTGATCCCGGCCACCTCATTTGGGCTTTTCTCCTTACAGTACCCCTGACTCACCCAAAAGATCTTCTGGCCGATGCCATTACCTCTTTGAAATCTTTCTTATCGGGAGCCTTTAATGCTTCTCCAGGCAGAGCACTTAAGGTGAAACCCAGTTAATGTAATCTTAAAACTAATAAATTTCCAGCAACATAAGACCACCAGATAATCACTTTGTCCCTAGGCTCACTCAGACTTCACAGCTCAGATCCCATAATTAGCATTTCTTTTGTGTCTGAATTACTGAACAGGCGTGAAGAGCCCCAGTGATAATATTTTGCCTTTTGGAGGTTTTAAAGAAAGCTGTCGATATAATCAGTTACCCAAACTGCCTCTAGAGTTGCTAATATAACAGCCAGGCAGCAGTCCCTGGTTTCAAAGCCCTGCTGCATACCTAGCTACTTAGAAGTCTACCTTTAGTTTACCCACTTTTGTCTACTTCGGATGACTCCTTCCGCTCTTCATTCTCTCCCTGCTTCATCATTCTCATCATTGCCAAAACCCCTTGTTGGATGGTACTTAGCTGGCTGATAGTAATTAATACTTCCTTTACAATGTGCAAATATGTGTTTCTGTCTCCTCTTGCTTTAGGCATTGTTAAAAGAACAAGATCCCAAATGTGGTTGTCTTCCAAGCCATGCTTTCAAACCCTGACGTGGATTCTTAATTTGGGGGTCCCTGAATGACCTCAGAGTGGGGGCTATGAACCTCCTGAAATCAAATGCAAACCTCTACATGTACCATTTTTTTTTTCCCTTGGGAGAGAATCTAGAGTTTCATTTGATTCTCAGTGTTCCTGGACTCCAAAAAATTATTAGGAACCATGACTTTCAAGACTTTAGCGACACAATCCGTAGTATAGTCATTGAAGGAAAGCTCTGTGCACATTTGTTCCTGGAAATGGGAAGTTGTCGGGTTGGAGCTGGGGAAGCCTGCCATTCTGAAATACGATATTGATCAATTATGGCCTGTGAAGGCAAGTGGGATTGAAACCTGGATCACATATAGCCTTAGGGGATTAGACATTTTCCCAGAAACTCTTAGGGTGATAGCAAACATTATGTATTGCCTGCTATGTGCCAGATACTGTCCCCGTGCCTAACATATTTTAACCCTTAATCCTCACAACCACCACATAAAGTAGATACTGTTATTAGTCTTGTTTTACAGATGAGAAAAATGAGGCACAGAGAGATTAAAACCATAGATTGAGTTTGCATTCCACATTCCAAGACCCTTCACAGGGCTGGATAATGTAGTTTGTCAAGCTGTAATTAATGGTTCAGAATAATTACCATTTCGGATATAGCTGAATGGTAGCTATGTTGTAATCTTCAAGCCCATGCCTAATTAATAATAGGATTCCCATATGTGCCACCTCTGGTTTTGTGAATAAGAACAGATTGTAGGTCATGTGCAGAGGAGAGCCAGCTGACTACTCTTTTAATTAGAATTTGTCTAAGCATCCTGTGGTGTATAAAATGGGGTTACTGACCCAGTAGATAATATTATTGTAACTATTATCATCACAAAAAAAAATTCATGCCATGTACATAAGGCATGCCACGACCCTATAGAGCTTAAAGTTAACTAAACCTTATCTCTGGGAGGTTAAAATTTCATTCATTCCAGGATATGATCAACTGATGGGGCTTTACATATAATTCACCCTTTACCTAGATTATATATATATTCAATAGTTAATGAGCAAGTGACCTAGAAGCTTATAGACTATCCCCTAAAAGCATCATTTATAACTAACCTAGAGAAAACCAACATTGTGGGCATTAAGTTTTGTTTAATCCCGTCTATAACCTATAGTGGTTGCTAGGAATTCTACAATTTATGGATGCATGCTAAATTTACATACATGTGCCAGTGATTTGTAGAGGTAAAGTAGGAATTCTGGACCAGAACTGACAGCCTTTGGAAAAAGTAACTATAAAATAATTTGACAAAGGAGAACCATCTCCTAAGCAGAACTGGATGTGCAAGAGGGTGCAATGGGTGAGGTGCAAGTCACTCTGGGTGAAGGGTTGGGCTCAGTGACCTGCTCAGTCAGTGGTATAACCAAGTGGAGCTAGAAGATGGGATTGTACCCTGTGACTCTGGATTATGGAAAGCCTATTATACAAGATCTTCCTTTCATGTTGGAGACCATCCTTGTAATCCATTTCAAATATTTTATGGAATAATATGGGGACTGTCAGAAAATATTTAGTAATAATCATAGTCAATTGTATTATTATACTTATTCGGGTTTTGCTTTATACCACGTAATTTAGATAATTGGAAACTGGGTTGGTAATACTCTTTGAAAAGCTTTTCTTTGGGGAAATCTGTAACTTAAAAGCTAAGGATAGTTAAAAGAAGTATGTTTAGAGCACTCAAAAGAATACATTTCTAAAGGAAAATCTTGGAGCTTCTATGTCTTCAAAAGTAAAAAAAAAAACAACTAAATTTCTTTAAAAGTATTCTAAATCAAGGCTTACTTGAACTTTGATCTTCTTCCTGAGTAGACTTAATAAGTGAAGTTTTAACTTACTTTCTTCTCTTAGAAAAAGAATACTTTAAATTCAAAGTAGTTCTGCCTCTCCTTGCCTTCTTCATGATTTTTTTTTTCCTTTTCAACAAAAACTGATTCTGAGGAGGACAAATAAAAATAAGCCTACCTCCAGCCATGTCTAGCTTTCAGATATTTTCAACTTCTTTCCTTCGAGTGTACCGGGCATGTGTGTGTGTTTGCCTCCCAGCCTCTGCTTGCCTTGTTCTCAATTGTGACCTACTCCTCCTTAGCGACCACCACCCACTGTGCTGCTGGTCACCCCTGGAGACCTGGGCCCCTATTCTCCCTGGTACTCATAGTGTTCCTTTTCCTCTGACCCAAAGATTGGGGGTGAAAGAAGAATGAGTAATCTGCTTCCTACCTCTCTACCAAGCTTGGATACATGCTTCTCCAAGATCCATAGAATTCTGAGCCCCTAAAGGTCTATGGTTCATACGTCCCTCCTGGAATACTTTTATTTTTAACATTATGCTTGTCCAGGACTGTTGACAGCTGTAATAGCCATTCACGCTCTTCTTTATTAAGTAGTTAATCACTCTCATCTTGTACATGCAACAGACACCTTGAGCATCTGTTTTGTGCAAACCTCTGTTAGGTGCTAGGAAATCAAGATGGGAATAGGAGAAGTCAAGAATTTAAGAGGGACAGGCAGACATTAAATGGCTAATTCTATAATGGAGTCTTTAATTATAATTGTGATAGGTTCCATGGGGGACAAGCCTATGACAAGGGGTTCTGACCTAGTCTGAGGATCAATGAAAGTTGTCATGGGGAGGTGAGATCTCAACTGTGTTATGAAGCATGAATTGTAGAAGAAAAAGGGGATTGTGGTGGTGACCACTGCCTTCAGAAGAAGAGAAGGGCAGAGCCATTTTTCTTAAGGAACTGAAAGCAAGCCAGTGTAGCCAAAGTCAGAGAGAGAAGGGACATTTGGGAGGAGATGAGGTGGTAAGGTTAGCAAGATAAGGGTAGTAAGGTTACTTAATACCAGGTATTAGAGGCCATGTTGAAGATTTTTTTCCCTAAAAGTCTCTGTCCTAAAAGTCCAAAGCCTTTGTCCAAAACACTGCAAGAAACAATTTCAAGGATTTTAATCACGTGCGGTGGGGATCAGGCAGAGAAATGGGGGTGTTGCAGCACTGAAATGTTCAGTGTTGCATTTTCAAATGTCCGCTCTGGAGGCTGTATGGGACATTTGGAGGGTGAGGGGTGGGAAGATGACATGAAGAGTCAGGTAGTAAGTTTTGTGCCTCCCAGGGAAGTTGGTGGTGGTCTGCATTAGGACAGTGCAGGTAGAAAGGAGATAAATGGATGATGGGTTTAAAGCTATTTAGAAGGCAAAGTTGCTGGAAGTTACTGTTAGATTGGATGCAGGAAGAGGTTAAAAATGACTCTTAGGCTCCTGGTTTGCTGAGGAGAGAGTAAACAAAGAGCATGAAGGAGGCCTTTGAGCCAGCAAAAAGTTGCCAAGGAAAGACATCTAGGTAGAGGGCAAGAAATACAGGAGGCGTGAGATTGTGAAAGCCGAGGAAAGGTCTTGCTCCTTCCCCTAGAGCTTGAACTTGCTCAACAAGCCATCAGTATCCAATAATCTGACATCAGGTTGTACCACAGTAGATGGGCTCTGGGTAAGTCTGGGCACTCACGATCTCATCCACGTTAGGATCCCTCTTCCAGATGACAAGGTGCTTTGTTTGCAGCTAGTATCACAGCCCGACAAATCACCTTGGACAATATCTTCCAAAAACCAAGAGTGATTTTCATAAAACGACCTTAAGAAATATTTTGCAACAAAAGATTTTCCTAACCGACATGCTGTCTTCAGAAATGCAACACCAGCAGAGCAAAGACAAGCTTTTATGATATCATATTGGGGGGGCGGGCGGTTACTCTGGCCTGTTAGCAGCTCCTAAAGCTCTTCATTCCACATTGGGAACTTTGCTTCATCCAGCCCAACCAGAAGGTTCTCTGAGATTGTTCTGATAGTTGTTAGGGTTGTTCATAAATGTTTGGTTATCTTGCTTTGGACACATGATAGGATTACATTTCTTTACCCACTTGCTTTATATGATGCTTTACCTAATGAAATGGGAACAGAGTGATGTATGGATTAAGAGCCAATTCCTGGTTTGCACGCTCTATTCCCGGCCTCACCAAATAAGGAAGTATGTGTCAAGAAGAAGCTTCCCTCAGTGACCTTTATGAGCAGAGCTCCTTATAACAACCTGTAGTTTACATGTATCATAGGCAGGAAATAAACATTGTTATCTTAAGAAGCTGAGATGTTTGTTACTATATCATAACTTAGCCCATCCTTACTGATACAGAGATACCCTTTCCAGAGCAAAGTAACCTTAAGAATTCATATGAGTTCCGAAGATTTTAGAACAAATTCTTTGCCGGGCAAGCTCAAACAAATAGGATCCCTCTCTTGTCTCCTGAATCTCTGCAAGAGGAGACTGTTACCAATCATAGTAATTGTGACTAGTCAGTAACTTGTAACCATGCAACAGGAGCTATGCTAATTATCCATTTTATCTAAAATAACCCAATAATGAAGTGGACATGAGCAAATCCACTTCAAAAATGAGAGAACTGAGGCTCAGAGAGGTTAAATAACATGCCCAGGGTCACACAGCTGGTAAATGGCAGAACCAAGATTGGAACATAGGTTGTGTGGCTCCAAAGTCCTTGCAGAGTTCTCATTCTGCTGGAAGGTTCAGGGTTGGCCTACTGATGTTCTTAAACTAACCTCATCTGAGTGTTTTATAGATTGAGGTTTAACAATTAACATATGTTTTTCAGACTTGGGACCACTCTTAGCTAGCAGGCTCTTACCTAAGCTGCCTGAAAATGTATGTTCTGTGTTTGTGCTTTATTTTTTTTTTAATTTTAAATTTTTAAAAGTTTTTATCTATTATTGAGAAATAGAGACAGAGCACAAGCATGGGAGGGGCAGAGAGGGGGGAGACACATAATCCGAATCAGGTTCTAGGCTCTGAGCCGTCAGCACAGAGCCCGACACCGGGCTCAAACTCAGAAACCTCGAGATCATGACCTGAGCCAGAGTCGGACACTCAACCTACTGAGCCGCTCAGGCACCCCTGTGTTTGTGCTTTAGGATAAGATAGATCTGAATTCAAATTGGGGTTCTACCCGGTATTAGATTCACCTAAACTCTTGCTGTATGTCAGTTTCCCCATCGAACAATGGAGGTAATAATCATTCCTGGCTCATGGGGCTGCGGGAGGATGGACCCCTGGTTTTCCTGTTTGTTCTCAGATCCATTCTCCATCCTTCCCCGCTCTACTTTAAGTCTGGGAGAGGAGTGGATCCTGCAAATGCATTCCTTGAGCTTCTCTGCAGTTTGCTTCAGGCAACAGAAGGGCCTTGTAAGTGGTGGGAGGGCAGAAGGGGGGGGGGCGGTGTCCCTCCATGTTTCAGGTGACTCCTCCAGCAGCAGCCGCTCTGTGGTTTTGGCTCCTCCTAGGCAGCCCCCTCTCTCCTCGGTCTCAGGTGTTGCTCTGGCTCCTGGTTCTGTGACTATCTTCCTTTGTTGTTCCAGCCCTAGGGACCAACAATTAGCTCTTGCTAATCTCCAGGCCACCTCACAGTCCCCTTTTGTTCTTTCCGCTCTTCCAAGACCTTTCTAAGAAGGATTCTGTATGAAAGTCTCACTTCCGGTGGTCTGGCCTGAGCTATTTTCCAAATTGTCTCATGGCTGATTTAGAGGATTGTTTGAGATAATGCCCATGAAGTATTTAGAACAGTGCTCAGCACATAAAAAGTGCTCAATCAATAGTAGCTTACAAAATGTGCTCACTTTCCTCTTAAGGACATACTCTGTGGCCAGTTTGCCCCAGGGAGGTCCCTGCCTGCACCATAGCTTGTGAGTCTATGCCCCTTCATCTTCCAGGCTGGCCAGGTCTGTGGACCTGTCTGGATTCCTCTTCTCTAATCTTCACAGAATAGAGGACATGTGAATTCCTCCATGACATTTTTGATACATGTCCCAGTGTTATTTTCAATTTTCGAAACTTCTTATTATTTTTTTTATACTAAAAAAGCACAGCTTTATTTTGAGATAAAGGCGGGTTGGCTTGCCAACACCTCCCTCTGCCCCATTACCCCTTGCCCCACTCCAGCCCACACGGCTCACTTGTGTCTGCAACTCTTGTCTGTCCTCTGCAAGGCTTTGGCATACAGAGTTCCCCTGTCATGGAAGGATCTTTCCTGGGCTCCTTTCAGATAAGGTCCTTTGCACACCACAGCCTCGGGGTAGCTGCTCCCTCCTTAGAGAGGTCCTCCTTGACCACCTTCTCTAATGCCAGTCACCCCTGTTGACCTCTGTGACAGAGGCTGTTTGGATCTTCATCGTACTTTCCACAGCTTGTCTCCGTCCCAACATGCCATAGACCATTAGACTCTTAATCCCACAAGGGTAGGACGTATGTGTGACATCCTCATATGTTCATCATGTATCCTTAGGGACAAAGAAAGATTGGCATAAAATGTGCTCTTGGTCAGTATGTTATGAAAGAAAAGTAGTTGAAATAATCTCATATCAAGGGTTAGTTGAAGTCTAATAGTGATGATCTTTGGGATTCCCATCCTCTCCCTTACTCAGGCGCTTATGCAGAAATCTTGAAAGCCAGTCTCCTTCACCACTGCTCCCTGCCCAGGCCCCACGTGGTGTGAGAAGCTCTGTTCCCTTCACAACACGCTTGGCCACTGCGATCTTCATGGAGGCTCCCAAGATTCTATATCCAGCCGTCTCCATCTTCCCGTGGTCACTCTCCTTCTGCAGACTGGCCGCCTCCAAGGCCCCCAGGAAGCAATCTCAAACAGAATCCAGAACCACCACCTTCAACACCAAACCCCTCCTCAGCACTTGGGCCATGCTGGTCCCCACCCCCTTCTCAGACAACCTCTTCTCACACAATCCAGCTTCCTTCCACAGAGAAAACAAAAGGCCCATTCAGGTTTTGTCTTCTTGGTGGCCAAACCAATCAGTAGCTACTAGCTTTTTTTGGCTTTCAGTTACAAAAAGGCTGCTAATTGCAATTACTCAGCCTCCCTTAAGGGCTTGGGGAATCTCGGGTCATAAACCAAAGAGCCTGGCTACATTCCTGGGAGAAGGGGAAAAATACCTCTCATTTCTGAAGAATGAACTAACAAATTGTAA